AAATAAAATAATTAATATTTTTATAATATAAAAAAAAGAGTTATAATAAAAAGTATAAAATATATTAATATTATTATTTATATTTAAATATATATTAATATTATTTTTTAACTATTTTTAAAAGAGTTATTTTCATCTCTTTTCCCTTTTATTTATAGTTTATTAGCTTTATCTTATTAATAGCTTATATTATTTATAATTATATTAATACTTAATTAAAATATATTTTAAAGATATAATATTATTATAAAATATAATAGCTATTTTATTTTATATTAATATAATATATTAGGAAATATTTACTTTAAGTTACCTATTTAAATTAATTAAATTAGTCTCCTTAAGGTTTAAAAGGTCTTAATTAATAAGCTATTATCTCTTATATATATTATTATAGTTTTTAATCTCTTTAATATCTATATTATTTTATTAAAGCGCTTTATATTTCCTTTTAATATACTTTTAAATAGAGAAATAACTTTTAGAAATAAAAGCTTATAATTAAGCTCTCTATTTTTCTTATTTTATTTTTATATAGTTTAAAAAGCGCTGTATATATTTATTTCCTCTTAAAGAATATCTTTTACTTTAGAGGTATTATTTAATTAATTATACTCTTTAAATAACTTTAAGATTATAAATAAATATAATAGCTATATATTAAGCTCTTTAAGTAATATAATAGCTTTATTACTTAAAATAATAGCTATTATTTCTTATTTTTTATAAAAAGAGATCTTATTAAATATAATATTTTATATAATTATTACTTAATTTAAAGAGGGTATTTAGATTTTAAAGAAGTTATAAGTTTTTAAATAATATTTAATAAGATATTTAATATATATATATATTTAAGTCTTAAAGTCTCTTTATTTATAGCTACTTTTATAAGCTTAATATAAAATATATACTTTATAACTATATATATAAAGTTCTCTAAAATAAAGCTATAAGTTTTAATTTAAAGTAAATATAAAATCCCTTAAAAATTACTTTTAATAGCTTTAAAGCTATTTTATAAAAACCTAATTTAGAGATATTTAGTTCTTTAAAGTATATAAATAGTTATTATTAATTTAAATAATAATAAATATTATTTTTATTTATATCTTTAATAAGAGATTAATAGTAAGTATTATTATTAATTTCTTATTAATAACTTTTCTTTTTATTCTTTTAATAACTTTTATAAGTTTTTTAATATCTATTAAAAATATTTTAAATTAATTTTATAACTATAAGCTTATTTTTTTAAATATAATAATATTAAGGATTTTAATAATAATATATTTAATATCTTAATAGATTTTATATATATAGAGGCTATATTATCTTTTAGTTTATACCTTAAATATATAGAGAACTAAAGAAATACTCTCTTATTTTTTACTAAGTAGTATAAATTTAAACTGAATACTTATAAACTTATTTTTAATAAGGAGTAACTATAAAGAGTTTCTATAGCTATTTAATAGATAATTAAAGAGATTTTAAGAGATATATTAAAATAGTTAAAGGGATCTATTTTTGAATAGATATCTTAAAATAATTTAATAAGCTTAAATAGTTAAATATACTTTATATTAGATTTTTATTAATTTTATAACTTTTACTCCTCGTTGGCCGCACGCGTGCCGAGGAGCTCATGTCCCAGGAAGCTACTGCCAACCCCAAGAACGAGAGTATGACGTACCAATAGCTCCCCCAAGCGCAAAGCCGAGAAGATCACGGATGAGATCAATGCATTCGCCGCTCACGGTGACCAGAAAAAGAACACCTCACCCGCCTCCTCGAGGAGGACGTCGTTGGGGAGTAGCGTGACAGCGCCTGAGGTCTCAATGGCGGCCGCATCCCCTACGATGTCAACGCCGCCACCGTCCCTGCCGGTCTGCGCGCTGCCGCCGCCCTGGCCGAGGCTGGCTTCTCCCCGATCACCCGGACTAGGCGAAGAAGGCGACGGACGCTGTCTAGATCTACGCAGACGAATGCGCTGGAGGTCTTCGAGGTTGCTGTTAAGGAGGAGGAAGCACGAAAGCTTGTTGATAAGTACATCTGCGACGATGGTTTCCCCTTCTCCTCGCACAGCGACAACATCACCGAGGACGTCAGGCTTTACAGCGTCGTGCTGGAGGGAAATCATAACCAGCGCCATGTCCGCTTTCAACACTGCCTCCACCACTTTTTGCTCAGCACTATCGAACAAGCGCAGCTCACCGCCTTCGTCTCTCAAACCGCCGATCACATCCTCGCCCCGTACCCTATAGGCCTGACCACCGACACGAGTCTTTTGGTCGCCAGCCCGGCCGTCGGCAATGACCCCATCTATGCCGCCAACGTGACCAACTCCGCCTACCACGGCACCATCGTCTAGAGCTGGCATCTCGCCATGATGGCTGCGGGTGTCGAACGCCAACTCGGCCGCTGCATCGACGAGTCGTCGGCGCCGGAATTCTGCACTCGCGAATGGGTGCACGGAAAGGTGAAGAGGGCGTACAACCACTTGTGGGATGTCATGGACGCCAATCATGGGATGCTGAACCTGGAGGTCTGGAGCTGAAAGTGCGAGGATGAGAGGTTTAGGCGGCATCTAGCTTTCCGAGGAGGCGGATGCGGGTGACATCTGGACCCTCAGCAGCCTGGGCATGATGTTGCTGTCCTTGGGAGCATCCTAGTTGTCCACATCGGCGACCTGCCGGGGGGCGATTGCATCATTTGATCATGTGGAACCCAGAATTGGCGGGTTAAGAGGGGGGGGGGGGCAACTAGTTGCGATCACCGAGAGTCAGTTGTACTGTTGGTTATCACATGGTGGACCGCGGCCTCGAGAGTCCATGATCTCATGCCTGGCGGCGTTGGCAATCTTCCCGGTATGTCACATCGACGTACTTTGGCACAGGTCCGTAATACCAATGAGCTTGTTCTATTCGCTCGCGGTTATGTCCTTCGACGAGATCGAGAACCGATGGAACTACACAAATCACTCAGGCTGACTGGACTAGAATCGTCCTCAAAACCACCCGCTCCATGGCTTCGAGAGCATTGCTCATCGGAATCAATGTATCGGAGCTGGAACTTCCAGCGGTCGAAAGCCATCACTTCAATCTCACTCCCGACACCGCGGAACCGACCGAGATCCGTAGCCAAAGGAGGGGGAGTTGCAGGAATAACCACGCGCGGCCCCAAAAGCACCATCGTGCAGAAAACGTGGCTCGTCCAGCATGTCGCTTCGAGCACCCGCCTGCATATCAAGATCGGCAAGCGCGGGCCGCGGTACAAAAACACTCTTGTCGTAAGTGCTGGGCCAGGTGTCCTCTGGTTTCACAGTATGCATTAGCAGCGCCAAGGGCCAGCACCAGAGCTGTAGAATGAAACAAGTTCATCATACCAACATCGTGGAGTACAGCTGCTGAGAGGTTTTCTATCCCCCTCGGCGTATCCGTACCTCGACCGCCACACCATTTGCAGTATACCATGTGCCCACGCCAGAAAACAGAAATCCAAATAGGTATCATATCTTGGGCCCCAAATCGGCAGCCGCATCTACAGTCCCAAAGTCGCTCTACGCCGTTCCATTTCCCGGTCGGGTCTCATATCTCAGGTTGGGAAACCTGCCGTCCATCAACTAACATCCGTCACCCCGTCATGTCGGTTACGCTGCTCTTCATCGTGTCCGTTGGCGCGTGCTGTCGCGGGGATCAACATCTTCCGCGGCTCTTCGTCGCTTCGAAGTCCGGGGAGTGATGGAATTGTGCAGGCGCTCTTGAAAGGACGAATATGGCTCGAAGGGAATCCTTTTGGAGGAGATGGAAAACTCGGAGCGCATGCCAGATGACTCGTTGAAGTCAGAAAGCTTTCGGAGGAGGGTGGCAGGTATGTCGGCCGCATAGAGAGTGAGGTACAACTCCGTCGTGGGGTCTGTCCGAAGCACGTGAACCTGTTCATGCCAGAGTTAGATCAGAGCCAAAGCAACATGGGGGGATTCGGGACAGTTGACGTGACGTACACGGTAGGATTCGGGCGAAGACTGCGGCCGCACACGCGCCAGAGCACGGCGATTTGACTGGGCAAGGGCGATGAGAAGAGCGGCGATGTAGGGATCCTCGTGGGGATCGTCTGGGATGATTCGGTCGAGACGAAGTCCGTAGAGAGAAGCAGTGGCGATGCTCATCGCGCGTCGGGGTGGCCTTGGGGAACAGATGTACTTTAGAGAGTTCCTGCGCGCAATGCAAACATCCGCGTAGTGGATGTAGGCCAGGCAAGGAATCGTGGATGTCGCTTTCGCTGGCGCAGTGGTTGCTGGTCTCGGGGCCGGACGAGAGAAGACAGCACAAGGTAAGGGAATCTCGTGGGACTCGAAACGGAAAAGAAGGCGTTGCCTATTGCGCAGAAGGAGTTAGTCGAAGAAGGATTAAAGACAATGGAGCCAACTATTTGTTTACCTTGTGAGGACCAGGGAGGCAGAGCTGGATTTCAGGATGGCTTGCACGGCCCAGACCTTGTCTGGAGTCCAGTGCGAGCAGGCGAGCGTAGATATGCAACGAGCATGACGGCTGAGGGAAGAAGCGGATGCACTCAAAGGTGCAGAGGCAGACGTAGATGCCGGGCTGAAGACGGTCTTGTCGGCGCGGGCATCATGGGCGATGCCAATTGCTTTGTTGGTGATGTTCATTGTCTTGGAGTTATCTTCTTTTTTGGGGCTGCATGTGGGAGACAAGGGCGGTAATGGCTGTGATTGGATGATCGGATGTTCTTTGTCCTTGTGACCGTGCTGGTGAACGACCTGGTGCACGTCTGCTTCATGGTGAATGAAGGCGCATCCCAACAGCTGAAGCTGACGATGAGTCCAGTGCAGCGGTTGCACGAGCAGGCGCTCTCTGGGATAAAGTCGAAGGATGGATTTGATTGAGAGTGATGAGCAATCAATTGTATGTTCGCGGGGAGGTGTTGCAGGAGGTGTTGCAGGAGGTGAAGATAAGGTGGACGTCATGGTGGTGGCATGCAGGATGCATACTGATCCTTGTTGTTGAGGTGAGAATGGCGTTGGTAACCAGACGCGATCCAACGTGGGGGGAATTGAGGGTGATTCCACGTCAGCACGTGACTGACTGACGTAAGATGTAATCACGTGATCTGAGGCAGGCAGGGACCTGGAAGGGTCAGTGGTGTGACGCTCCACGTCCCATCAAGTGCCACCTGTGACTGGACTAAGGTAAGGTACAGTACAAGATGGTCCCATAAAGCCCCATATTTTCTCCAACTCGCCTCAACCACAAAATTTACAATTGGTCAGAAAAAAGCAGAGCTAGTCTCCCATTGGTTGAAACCCCGCATTCTTTGTACTGTAGTCCAGTGGCACCGGCATATTGATGGAATACCTCTTGATCCGCGCCCACCCGCTGGCGACGCGAAATTTGAGAGAAGGGTCCTACATTTGCTGCCTGCTGCCTCGCCCGATTCCACGAAATGGAAGCTTCGAATCGAGGCATGAAGTTACCCTTAAACGCCTGCATGCCCTACAACAGGTACTACTGCCTGCGCGCCTTTGCCGGACTCCCAAGGCATCCATGGATCTGTCCGCCCCGTCCCAAGCCAAGATGCAGTTCATCGCGCCCCGGGCTCCGTCACCACCGTCGCCTTCTCGGCACCAACTTGAGATTCCGATGCAGGTCCCAATTCAAGTCTGTTATCTCCCTTTACCTGCACCTTCAACCTTTCCTTTACTGACGACATTCGCGGTGTAGCTGAGCTCGACATCGCCGCAGAACACGACATCCCTCCCGTATATCGCTTCGAGCCACCCCCCGCGTCACGTTGCGTCGCGTGGCGTCGCGTCATATCGTTCACGATGGCCCCTGGCAAGCCCTACTTCGATACTGTTACCTCCGAAACCGTGTACGATCAGCTGTATCGATTCGCCTTTCCTACCGCACTGGATGGGATGAGCACGAGCGGATGGGGCGAGGATCAGTTGGCAGCATGCCGAGTTCTCGTCGCAGCCAAGACAAAAAACAACATGTTGCCCATCCTGCTCAAGAACGACTGCATACCAACGGCAGAATTCCAAACCCTTCTCAAACAGGATCCTACGCCTCCTGAGGGTAACAACAGCTCAGACCGGTCCACCGACCAGCTGCAGCGAATCTGTCAAGGACCCAGACATCATCAGCCACAGACCGAACACCAAAGCGCGTGGACTTATGGCCAGTCGTTGGGCCAACTTTGGGCCAGCTTGGACAGTGTGAAGGCTAGTAGCTTCCACCAGCTCAGCGGCAACGGGCTGGGCGAATTCGAGGAAGACAGAGACGTCGTAGCGGAAGCGCAGACAATCAGTGACGACCTCGTCGAGCCTGATGAGCCCGATAGGGCCGACGAATACGGCGAATACGACGAGAGTGACGACAGTGACGACAGTGACGGTATGGACCTTGACGAGACTGGCGAGCCCGACAGGGCTGACGATCACGACGAGATCGACGAGCTTGACGGCGGCGACCTCGACAAGATTGATGAGCCCGATAGGACTGATGAATCCATCCTGGGTGACGAACTTGATGGCGGCGACGGTAGCATCTTGAACGAAGGCACTGGAGTTGTTGATCTCCACGACAATCCTGCTAACATTCATGGTTCATCTGGCGGCGACTTTTCGCGCAAGCGCAAGCTGCCCGAGGTCAATAGCTCTCCGCCGGGCCCCCGACGCCGACGGTCCACAAGACAAGTTAAGCCGCCGCATAACCCAGGCTACACCCCTTCAGATCAAATGCGATTCTCGTCGAGCCAAACCTCGGCGCATCCACCAACCTCGGAACCCGAAGTCTTTTACGGCCCGCCAAGCCCCAAAGCTGCCCAAACGATTTATCCCGAGACTCTTACCGTTCGCCTCATCTCGTCATTCATCAGACAAGCTCTTCCCTGGCTACCCTCGCAGAACAGCCCGGAAGCTGACCCGGTCGTCGTGTTTGAGGATGCCCAAGCTACGTTCCAAGTCAAGCACGGCGAGATCAACTTCACGTCCCGTGACGACGGTGGTCTTGTCATCTACTGCGAAGGCCGGCGCTGCGGTCGCGTCGCTCTCCTTGAGGCGAAGAGTTTCGTCGACAGCTATGTGGAAGGCGAACTCTTGCTGTCGAACAAACGCTTCGGTCAAATGGTCGGGGAGGCGCTCGCGGCGAGGTTCCAACAAGACCCTGGTGTGTGGACGGGACCTGACGGAACGTAAGTGCCATGACGGGATGGATCTCCAGGGCGGGACTGACATTCCTCTCTCTCTCTCTTCACAGAATCATCGTCATCGCTGCGGTTCGGCATTACCTCCGCTTTCTGCAAGTGGGCATTTCGGACACGTACCTCACGCAGCTGAAGCGGTATGCGGGAGGCGGCAACGACGCCCCCACCGAGTTCATCCGCGTCGATGGCACTCGCTGGTTCGACCTCGCTAATGCGTCCGACCGACGATATACCGTGCAAAACCTAGAGGGGATTGTGTGCTTAGTCCGCAAGGGGTTTAGCAGGCGAGACTAGGCGATGGGAGGTAGATGAGGCCTGGTGGATGTGACATAGAAGCAGCGGCAGTCTCCTTGCGATAGTTACTCAGCGTGGTTGTAACGAATGGGTGTGTCCTCTAGGTCAGGTTGTGTCTAAGCCTGGAGGGAACGTCGCAGTGTTTCGTACCTGTCTGTCATCAGCTAGCCATTATGGAGACGTTTGGGGGAAGAACATGAAAGCTCGATCGCTTTCTTGTTGCATTGATCTGGTCAGAGACTCGTGTCGGCACAACTGGGGACGACGACGACGCAGCTGTCGCGACGGCCAGAACAGGCCGTCTCTCCTATGCCTGGAGTACTCACACTCGCCATTTGCCCAACGAGGCAACGCTACGCCCGATCTTGCCGTTACTTTTGGGTTGGTAGAGGTCCTCGTCAGATGCAGAGTCTTGCGGTTGATAGGCCTGGATGAAGATCTCGGGCGCCAAAGCGCACTATGCACCAAACGGCTAGCCCGCAAGACCAGTTGTAGTGCTTCACCGTAAACACCGTGAATTTTGTCGCCCACGATGCAAACATCCTGCCCAGCTTTAATGCTTCTTACCGGTGGGTGAGATCATCATTCTTTGTGTGCAATGTCCGGCGTGGTTCCCAATGGGCTAATTGGCAATAACCATCCCGCGATCTCAAGATTGCTCAACCCTCGCTTCAATTCATCGAGACTTGCCTCTGTCCAGCACATCCCAGGAGTATTCGGGCTTTGGCTCGGTACGAGCTCCAAGTCAGTATTTTGATACTTGTTCCAGATTCGCGCAATGTTCTTCCAAATGTCCCTTCGCATCATTGCGTCCGATCAATCTTCAGCTTCCTCCTCAACAATCTTGCACACCGATTTCGCGCAAAGACCATGCCGTTACAGCGGGGAGCCCCTGAAAGCCCAGCGCCTCCCGCACCTGAACACTGAAATATCCGGCTACTTAGGTACCTAGCTCTGGATCAGAGTACTTAGCAATCCCACCTTTCTCCAACGTGGCCCCGCTTTATCTCAACCACAAAATTTACCATTGGTTCAAAAAAACGTTTGACCTCTGTTGATTGGTTGCAGCCCACGTCAAAAGTACTGCGGGATAGGTAGCTAGCGAAAACATAACAACGGGCATTCATTACATCATTTATCACAGCGGCGGCCCCCAATCGATCCATTGCTCCAACGTCACCGCCCACCTGCTTCAAGCCGCGGTTTTTGACTGTCCACCACCACCACCCGTCTTCCTCAAGAATCAACCTGTAGGCTGCGAAAATGGTTGCTCCCACCCGGCGCGCTTCTACAAAGACGTATTCACGCCGCGGCAACCGCTCTCTGACGTTCGACCTGGCCGCCAACGCCAAGAGGCCTGCGACCACGACTCTCTAGATCGCGAAGCCAACTGCTGTGGCCAAGACCACCTCGACCAAGAAGACGAAGAGCAGCGCCCAGGCAACGCCGAATGCCAGGGCTGTTAGCGATGCAAGTCCCGGCTTCACGAACAACAAAAGTGTTCCCACCACAGAAGGCGCGTACCCAACCTCCCAGCCCGTCCGCCCGCCCGCCTTGCCTTGCTTGGCCTTGTTGCGGTTCGCTCTCAAGCTAACGCGCCATCATGCACACCACAGACTACGACCAAGACGACGAACTTGTTGACTGGGAAATCAATTGCTCGTCGCATCGCGTCTTTCTCCTCGCCCCCCGCTCGACCGACAAGTCCCGACGGTGCGTTCCCGACAAGACGGTCCAGCAAAGGCCCCCATTGAAGCTCGACGGACGCATACTGGCGCACGTTTAACAGGCCTCGCGAGCAGACGCTCAACACCGATCTCTACCACGTCTTCGATATCCTAGCTTACGACCCTTCGCGCGGTGCTCTTCAATGGGTTGGCTATGGAACCTCCGAAGCCGATATAACACGGGAGCCAGTCAAGAAGGTCAAACAGATGGAGCCTGACCTGATGGACGAGTTCATCGAACGAGAGGGTTGGGCAAGGAGCTGAAGGGTCTGCCCTAGAACGGCTGCTTGCTGAGTGCATCAGCTTTCCGGCGCGGAGCCCCGGGTTCCCCCACACGACGCTCTTGCTCGCGCGTCATGGGGTTCCAACACGAAGCTACTCGGCTTGCTGGTATTCGTGGCAAGACCCCGCCTACCGTGTGGGTTGCCAGTCAGTTGTTCAGTAGGAGGATATCCCGGACCTGTCTTCCAGTCTGCCACCGGATGCCGGAGTTGGAGGTCAGTCGAGGTTCAGCACGAGCTGCGCCCACGATCGCATTCGAGAGCGTTTGCCGCCTACATCGCCGCCCTCTTGTGACCCGGCGCCTTGGGCCGTGTCACAGCATCCGGGATACATAAGAATGCGGCGGACAGGCTATGGAATTCCTCAGTGCATGATGTATGGACCGCATGCATGCAGGACGACCTACTGCTGGACGAACTACTGCTGCGCAAATCACAAGAACGACGAACTACCTGACCGACCAGCAATGTTGGCGGAACGACACAGAGATATGCCACTAACATCATCACCATGTCCACATCAAGCTGTCGGTCCCAGGTTGGATCCCAGAAGGGGATTTGAGACTCGTTCCCGACTGCGGGGAGTCGGCATGGCCGTCATTGACCCCAGCGAGCGCCGTCTTTTAGCCTCAGGAGCCTACCGTCATGAGGCGCGCAGGAGGAGTTGATACGTCGAGGCTCTCCACTGGCTCAAACACATGGAGCTTCTGCAAGAGGAGCTTGCCTTGCTGTCCAGTCTCCCCGTACGGTCGGTGGCCCGCTGCAGCAAAGTTCATGGTGATGCGGAGACCAACTCCACGTCGCTCTCGAACGTGGACCTTGAATACGGCAGAAACAATTGGCGCCACATCTGCGAAGGGTCGTGTAGGGTTTCCGACAGCAGCATGCGGTACCGGCCCGACATCTCCAGCCTCCCAGGCGCCCCTGGGGGCCACCGCACCGCCTCGGAGGCTTGGCCAAGGTAGCTCAAGCCAGTACCCGCGTGTCAATCCCTCCAACTGCCGTTAGACGCTGCCGGCATCATGCACTCTCGCGCGCGGGGTACCGTCAAGATGACGCCGCCGCCCTCGCCTCGGCTTGCTTCCAACAGGTTCGCCGCTGTCCAAGGCTTCAGAAACCTGCAAGGGTAGTACGGCAGCACCGCCGCCGCCCTCGCCTCGGCTTCCAACAGGTTCGCTGTCCAACGCTCGAGAAACCTGCACGAGTAGTACGGCACCGCCTCGAAGCAATACAAGGGGACTTTCCGGGTGGTGTTCGACAGAGATGTTCGGATGCGCACGAGATCGATGCGGAGATGGTGCAGCTCCTGGACATGGACATGGAGGAGTCGGACTATGACTGGTGAAGGTGGTTATGGAAGATCTCTGACGATGGCTTCTTCGTTTGTGTCCGTATTCACCGCTTCTTCTCCGTGTGTCGTTCAATATGTCATGTTCCTATTGGGATACCACACTGTCGTCGAGTTCAATCAAGTCAAGGCGGCTCCGTTTGGTTTGCCGTCGATTTATCACGGCATTATCACCGAGACTATGTCCACGAACCTTCTTCCTGTTCTTCATTCCTATGATGTCTGCCTTCTTCGCTCATTCGTGTCGTGACACCTCTACGTTAGCCCCTTCGAGTCCATCCATCCTCCGTACGCCGTGACTCGCTGCGTCAAGTGAGCAACCCTGGTCAAACCTGTCGTCTCCTCGGTGACAAGCTCGGCCGGCGATGCCTAGCCGACCCGCCAGACTTCCAACGGCATTGTTATCTTACGGGGCATCCCGATCAGACCCAGTCTCCGTGGGAAACTCGCCATCCACGCGCACATCACGCGACACCGGCTTACCGATACCTCGTCCGATTTGCACCTCGGGGAAAGTCCCACGCCACCCGTTCAAGTAACCGAGAAGGCCCTCCACGAAAAGAGACGTCGTGCGCTCTTGCGACCTTGGAGGTGTCGTCTCAGCAAAACTTGGCTGTTTGCTTTCATCAGGATGGAGTTCGAAATACAGGAGACGGGCACCGAGGTTCCCCAATGTGCTGTTCTCGACTGGTTGTCAGAAGAAGGCATTTGCGGCCAACGGCGAGCGGTGGATAACGATGGACGACGCCAGCACCTCACGATTTGGATGTTTATTGCAGCACAAGCGTAAATAAGCAAGTCTCCGTTTGCACCGTCCGTTGATCCGGGCTGACGATGCGCCACAGGGTAACTGTTTTTCGGGTTAAGAGGAGGCCCCGGGCACCCTCTCACGCAAGTGTACACGCCCTTCGATGTAATGGATGCTTAATGATCGTGTTGTAGACGACGGGGCTCGATGTTTCTTGGATACATTGGTGAAAAATTGGTAGATGTTCAAGATGCACATCTGGATTTAGCACCGCTTCTCGGCACAGCGTTGATCTTCCGCTTCTCCTCTGAGCCAGCAATTATCTTCGCGACGGGATTCTTCCTACATTAGTTAGCTAGCTTGAGTTAGTTTCCGTCCTGGTCAACAAGAATAGTTGCCACAGTCTCTGCACGCCTCAACAGGTATTTCCAAAACCCTGGGAAGAACTCTTCCACATTTGCATGCAGATCCCATCGAGTGCGGCTGGACTGCACCTAGTACTTACTGGTCCCACTTTTCCCCAACTGGACCCGCTTTAGATCAACCACCAAATTCACCATTGGCCCAAAAAAAAGTCAGGCCTCTACCGATTGGCTACAACCCCACACTGGAAGTACTGCAGTCCAGCCAGCCGCACTCGATGGGATAAAAGCACATTGAGTATTCCGTGAAATGAGAGGAGATAAATGAGTCGGAGTGGTGAGTGATTCCTTGAGGTTCTATGAGGAAAGCCTATGGACGTCAATGAGGCATTACATGAGCAAGAGGATACTCAATTCGAGGTGGTTCGAAATGGACCTTGTGAATTGTGGTTGATCCCGCGAGTTTAATGTCGTTGGCTCTTCCCACTCCCAGTTTCCCATTCCTGTCCCAAACCTCGAATCTTCGACCGGAACAAGCGAAGCGATGCAATGCACGCCAATTGCCTGATTATGCATCAATCGACGGGAAAACATCAAGCCAAAGACGAATTGGGCGTCAACTAAGTGCAGCTACTTCAACGCTGGCAGAGTCCAACCCCTCACCTCACTTTGCTTCACCGGAAGCATGCCGCTTCTAAGGCCGCGTGGGGCGCCAATTTTGCGAAGCGGCCCGGCCCGCCGAAGCTACGGGAAGTGCTGGCAAAGGTTTCTTCAGAGACTGCAACTTGGCACGCTATCATCCGACTCATTGGTTCAAACTGCTAAGCTTTAACAAACAACCAGCAGCACTTTAGGAAAGCCTCAACTAACTATTATTTATTATACTTTAAATAGTTTTAACTTATTAACTTTAAATCTTAAACTTTAAATGTTTAGCTATTTAGAAGAAGCTTATAAATTATTTATAAATAAATAAATTAATATTAATCTTTATAAATAGCTTTATTTAAACCTTTTTATTATTTAATTATTTTTAAATAAATAGATTTAAGAATAATTTATAATAAAAAAGATTTAAATAAAGTATTTCTCTTTAAATAAAGTCTCTAAGTCTTTATACTTAAAGACTTAAAGCTTAAGTTTAAATATTACTTTTTAGTAATTAAATCTATTATATTATTAAGCTTATTAAGAGATATACTAAATATTATATTAAGAGAGAAATTTAAATATAATAATAAAGAGATTATAAGAAAAAGTAAAAGATAGATATTTAATTTAAAATAATAACTAGCTTTTTATATCTATTTAATAATATAATAGAGATATCTTTTAACTAAAAGACTATAAAGATATTATTATAAAGAGATATTTATTATTAAAAGGTTTAATATCTTAATAATATATTAAAGTTATAATTATTATTATATATTAATAATAAGGCTTATTATTTTCCCTCTTTTTATATAGCTTTTATATATAAAATATATATTTAAAAATCTTACTTAAGCTAAGTATATTAATATTAATTTTACTATAAACTATACTTATTTATTATTATATAATATAAGCTAAATAATTAATATTATAATAAATATACTATAAAATAGAAATATTACCTAGCTCTAAAGGAGCTTTATATAGTAGTTTATTAATATAAGTTTCTTAATTCTTTAATATAATTTTAATCCTTTAGTTAATACTATCTCTTAATATAATAAATAGATATAAATAATATTTAAACTAATATTAACTAATAAGCTTAACTTAATTAAAGTCTTTAGATATATATAAATTTATAAGAGCTATAAGAAAAAAGAGTAATAAGCTTTATTATTAATAAGTAGTAATAATAACTTAAATTTACTATAATAATATTAAACCTTTTAATTATAAGTCTTTCTTTATAATACCTTTATAGTTCTTTAGCTAAAAGAATAGCTAATAAAGTATCTTTATTATATTATTAAATAGATATAAAAAGCTAATTACTATCCTAAGCTAAAAGCTTATTTAAATCCTTTAAGATAAGTATTATTTAACTTAATATACTATATAGTAAGCTTAATAATAATAATATTAAAGAAGTAATATATATTTATAATATTTAGAGTATTAATAGCTATAAATATAATAATTTAAACTTTAATATAAAAGTTATTTTAGCGTTTTTATTTATAAAACTATATTATTAGCTTTAAACCTTAATAATAAAAGTATTATTATATTTACCCTTAATAAACTTAAAGATAAAGATCTTAATATTATTAAGGTATTTATTTTAAATATTAATAATAACCTATTAACTTATAAGTATTTTATAGGTTTTCTCTAAATAGCTAAGGATTTTAAGCCTAAAGTTAAGTTATAAATACTATAGATTTAAATTAATATTAATAATATTATTAATAGTAAGTAATAAAACTATTATAATAGTCTTAAGTACTAGAGGTAAGTTAAAAGTCTTCTAAAAGGTTTAATTAATAATAATATATTAGCTTAATAGCTATATAGTTAAAAGGGTT